GCAGCAATGTCTGTAAAGTTACAAGTGGAGAACGAGGGATCTTGGTTACCACTTGCTGTATAGTGAATGCGATTGGTCAGGCCCTACCTCCAGCTATGATATTTCCAAGAAAAAATTTTAAGACTCATATGCTGCACGGGGCACCTCCCGGGACCCTCGGTCTAGCCTCACCTAGTGGTTGGATGAATGTGCAATTATTTGTTGAAGTAATGAAACATTTTATCCAGGTATTTTGACGATTGTTTGATATAGGTAGATTTTTGTGTCTAAATTTGATTCTACGTGTGGAATAGATAACATTATTGTATTTCTATTTGTTTTAGTATACTTCAGCATCAAAAGACAATCCGGCTTTGCTCATTCTTGATAACCATGAAAGCCACTTGTCTATAGAAGCACTAGATGTAGCAAAAGCCTCAGGTGTGACTGTGCTTACACTTCATCCTCATACCACGGCCAGGATGCAACCTCTGGATGTTGGACTAAATGGCCCATTCAAGTCGTATTATAATGCCGCGATAGACTCATGGGTACTATGTAATCCAGGTAAAACTTTAAGCATTTACAATGTTGCCGAATGCGTAGGTATAGCGTATATGAGGGCCATGACTCCGGTAAATATTACTCAAGCATTTAAAAAATGCGGTATATTCCCCTTTGATGATAAAATATTTACAGACATAGATTTTTTACCCAGTGAAGTTACTAATAGACCAGCACCAAAAAATGAAACAGATGCTGAGGTAGATTTTCAAGAACCCGATATTAATGAACGTTGTGGTTCACCATCTATATTGACGCCTGCTTTTTACGGTGACAATGATGAAACTGACGCAGATATTGAGAATATTATTGAAGAATATCACTATAGCATACCGGTACCATCTACTTCATATGTCCGCCAGCCATCGCCTTCAGTGGTTGATAATGAAGACGTATCCCCTACTAAAAAAACAAACTCTCCTGAAGTGTTTGGCATTCCAAGTAATTTTATTTCACCGAAGATTTTCAGGCCACCTTTGAAGGCAGAACCTCGCAAGAAGAGGTTCAAGAGAAAAGCAGGTAAGAGCATGATAGCTACTGATACACCCGAAAAGAACGCTTTAGCTGAAAATAAAAACCCAAAACAAAATAAAACCCGGAAAAGAGCTAACGTAGTTAAAGTGACTTTATTTGAAAGTAGCCGTAAGAGAGTAAAATCAGACACTTCATCAGACGAAGAGGATGAATTTATTTCCAGCGACTCATCTTCTGGCGGAGAAAATTTTCTCGATCAATCAGAAGAGGAAGAAGTCCTTTTATGCGACAACTTCCCTCCATTGTTAAGGAAGCCTCGCGTTGAAGACTACGTAATTATTGCATTTACTACAAAAAAATCTAAAGTTTATTACATAGCACAAATTTTGGAGGAATTGGAGGGAGAAGAATGCGATTATTATGTATCGTATTTCAAGTTAAAAAATAAGGTTACACAGACATTTTCGCTACCTCTAGAACCTGACACAGCAGGTGTGAATAGAAAAGATATTACATATATTTTACCACCTCCCATTACACAGGGTACGGCACGTCGACAAGCCACCTACAAATTTCCTGTCGAAATGTCGTTACTGAATTTAAGATATTAGTTACCTAGGTAGATACATCCTAACTGAAGGATTGTTGATTAGAAGATTGTTTTGTTTCTATTAAGTTTTTTGTTTTTGGAAAATGTCATGACGGATGACGATCGAGGTGAATCGTACCTATAATTGTGATTTAACATTTAAAAATTAAGGCTGATTAGGTAGGTTATTTTTCTAACGTTTAAAACATAATAAATATTAAAACTTAAAACTGTTTTATTTATTAAACTTCAAAGAAACAATCAATGTAGTTATTCCTGTGAGTCATTGTGTACCACATGGTTCATGAAGTCCCACCCCCCCGATTTATTGTGTACCCTACGGTGTACACTATGAACCAATTACCTTTTTTTTTTTAAATCGGTATTACTAAGACATTATCAAATAATGCCGAAAATTTGGTATCCAATATGTTATATCATTAAATAACCCAAGTGTAGTGAAATTTTTTTATTCTAAAACTGCAATAGTAACTGTGCTAGAACTTTTCAAACTTTTGGTGGTTCAATGGCTACCATCCCACCCTAAACCAGCGTACCGGCATTTAATACGTTTACAGGTAGATAGTGCATACTTTAATCACTGTTAAGAAAACCATATTTTTTTTTAAACGTTACGTAATTTATGCACACACTTACCTAATATATCTTAAACTAATTATCTTATAGATATTTTTTTTAACTAAACCAAGACTACCCATAAAGAATGCCTATCTACAAAGTTTACTAATTACCATGCCAACAAGTATGGTGCGTAATGTCAATAACTTATAAACTGCTCAAATGTTTTTTTTTAAATATATATATCTACAAAATGTATATTCGGTCTATTTATTTTCACTTATCGATACCTTGTTTATACATTGAATCATATTTGTATGTTAATAAATCCTTTAAAAAAAGTTGAACCGACTTCAAACAATAGGTACTGACAGAGCACTAAAAATTAAAGAAATAAAATAAAATCTATTGTATTGATTGATTTGTATTTTTTTTAATTTTTAGTGCTTTTTGTCAGTACTGTTTGCAGTCGGTTCAACTTTTTTTAAAAGGATTTAGTTTACCATTTTTAGTGTAAGATATGTTTGTAATGAGTAGATAAGTGCGACATTTAAAACACTACGTACCGTAATGTATAGTACCACACTGTAGTATTTTAGATTATATTAAATACAGTATAATAAGTAATAAGTCCGTTACCTTTTTTAGATAAGGTAGTAAGATGTAACATTTGAACCCGAAAATATATTATTTTCCACATTACCTACTTAATTTTCCAAAACTTAAATATTTTTTATAATCGGTTTACAAATGCAAGAGTTTTGAGGTAACAAACATGCAAATAATTGCGTAACAAACATTTTTTTTGGCTAAATGTTTTGTAATCTCATATATTCAAATATTACTTTTTTGTGCACATATCTCTGTTACCCAACACAAACACCTAACAAATATCTTGAAAGAAAAAACAAGGTCAATACATGATTAGATTTTTGAAAGAGTTATCATCTAACTCCTAAATGTCTAAGACCCTTATATCATCAGCTCAGCAACATGACATAACTACTACTAAACGCAAATACTCATATAACTAGACAAACAAGCTAAAACACGTTGTCGGGCCTGTAAAATTTGAGGGATTCCCTCGATTTCTCTAGGATCCCATCATAAAATCCTGATTTGGTGGTAATGAGACCACCTTGGGAGCAGACCCTTTCAATTACAAAAAGAATTTTGAAAATCGGTCCACAATTGTCCAGATTTCGCGTAACAAACATACACAAAAAAAGACGTATTCATAACCTCTTCTTATGTGTTTTTGTAGTCGGTTAAGAAGGTATCGTATTTTATTTTTTATACTGATATAATGAGATAAAGAATTTCACTAGTTCCACGATCGAACTGATGGATCGAACTAATGAGAACAAATCGACGTTTTTACTGTATGAATTTCTTATGTGTAATTGAAACGTTACAAATACTGAATACACAAAACCCATAAAACTTCTGAACTAACATTTTACAAAACGGATAATGCAAACAGTACCATTAAATGATCCCTATTAAAACATAAATATTATTGTTGAATTGCGATTTGTGATAAAAATTTCTTCGAAGACAGGAATATCAAAAGCCGACGAACGAGAAGAGATGAAAAATATAAATAAATACATTATTATTGCGATTATGTACACACAAACGTTAAATTGAAATGTATTGACATACATAGATATAAAAAATTAATGTTTTAAATTCTGGCACATATTGTTCCATCTTCACATATAATACAATCGCTAATGTGTATGTTTTAATTCTTTGATACTAGTGAATATTGTAAATTTGTACTTGTTGATATGTTAACATTAAATACACTTCAAAATCATCTACACTGAACTCGTTACCAAAACAATCGAAATCATATATTTATACATACATATATATATTTAAATTCTTTATCTCAACTCGTTCATCTTCTATATACATGTGATCACAATTTGTCAATCATCAATTCTTATTCAACGCAATATCAATGCTATTGATAATAGTATAGAAATCAAAGTAACAATTTCACACATTCATACATTTCGATAGTTACGAGACCAACTCAGCAGTTGATCTATTATTAATGTCAAAACAATATTTGTTAAATTGTAGCTATGTTTAAAAAACATTAAAATTAAGTTACCCACTAAGTGTATGATCTTAAGTTATGTTAAAACTAGTCAACTAACCTATATTACTTACTGTATGTCTATTCAGACTTATAGAAAAATAATATACTACTCTTTAAGAGACTTTTACATACTACGATGTTTATAATATCATAAACAATAACTCTAACTTTTGAATAATTTTGGTATAAATTTTAGAAACTATATTGTTACACAAAATAATTTACATAAACTAGAATAAATTTTAAATAATATTGACGACAGCTTTCAAATTTATTAAGTAAAATTTTTTGATGCAATTACTGTTTTAACATTAGACTTAAATAACCTGTTATAGGTACTTAATTAAAAGAGACTAGTCAATAATCAACTAAAACTATAATCGCTAAACAGAGGTATGTAAATTTAAACTCAAACAAAAAAAAATTGAACGAGCATTATATTTCTTTCTGTAAATAGTAAAAAGGAATTACGTGAAATAACCTGTGAACTTTGTATTCTTTAAACTTTATTATTTTTGTTGTACATTTAACAATATGAAAACCATTTCTCTAACATATTTTTTTTTATTTTGTCTTAATTCACTCGCGCTCTAGTACCTTGGGCGTTTAAACAACCGCAATTTTTTACGTTAAAAGTGAAAAGTCAAATAGAGCCCATGGTTTATGAAAATGTTAAACACATTTTATTAAAAAAAAATATAACTAAGACTCGTGTTCAACCAACGCCGCTTGAGACAGCGAAATTTGTTGAGATGTTGGCAATTTTCTCCTAAAGAAAGTCTTAACACAAGGAGCTAAAAGATAGAATAGAACAGTAGCAGCTACAATAGATATAGCACAGAGCGCCCACTGGGCGGCTCGTATTGAAATGGCTACCTGTGTCACAGGCTTCGTTAGTTGGCAGGTCACAGTGAGGGAAGTGCTTGTGTTATATGGCCCGCTAATTCTGGCCTTGGCACCGCAATCGGAGGTTTGCCAGCCAATCCAGCCGCCGGATCTATTGAATATAACCTGAAAAATAATTTTTGATGTCAACGGGACTACAACTTTAACGCGAGACAAAAATTTGTGATTTTAGGAAAATTATCTTTACTTCGTAAATTTCGTAATATGAGCGAATAAAATACTTGTAATAATAGTGTAGCGAGAAGGAGAAAAAGAGGTATTTATTCAAATAAGTGAATATGAAATGCCGTGTACTGACGGATTAAGAATACGGAATGTCACGACGCACATTCATCCCGTGGGTGTCGTAAGAGTCGACTAAGGGCGCAAAAAAACGCAGGACACCAGCACTGCAAAAAGAAGGAAAACTTGACATAAACCCTATACCAACCCGTCTGGCCAGCGTGTTATAGTAGGCCAAAACCTCCTTTCTGAGGAGAGACCTGTGTCCAGTAGTGGACTATTAAAGGCTGTTGATGTGATGATGTGATTCAACTGAAAGTGAAGCAAAAGACTACGTAGGTATACATAACGATACAAAGAGGTAAAACAATAATAATGGAAGGAATGAAAAATAATCTGTATGTGAATAATAAAGGAAGCAGAAACGCGAGAGATTATCTGCACGCATCTCGTGATATTAATAGTTCAGGTAAGGAAAAATTATTCATAATAAGTTCACTCTTCCTTTTGTTCCACACACAAGGTTCAAAAATGTGCGTCAACCGGCTCACATTTAAAAATAAAAACTAAAAACCTTAACCATTAAACTTAAGTATGAAAACTACAATAAAATGATGTTGGTAAATTTTGAACGAACAAAAATTAAAGAATTCAGTAGACGGACGTAAGGTCACTAAGAAACATTTTGTCCGAGCACGCTTTGTTGTCATTTACCATAAAATTTTGTGTTTTTCATTAATGTGACACGTCTCTATCCCAGAAAGGATAGACTATAATTTTATAGATTGTATATTACAAAAATTAATATGAATTACGACATTTATTATTAAAGTATTATTATATTAGTGGGATTAGTCCCATTTACGTAATAGGGGCCTATTGTCATTTACAGGATACTTGAGGCTTTTTGTTAATTTATTTATGATGGAAGACCAACAGCGTTGGGTTGCAACAAAATACACAACAGTTAGACAATTACAGGTCCTCAATATTAATTATAATTTGGAGCAATTAGATGGGTTTAATAAAAAGAATAGGAGATAAAAAGGGAAGGTAAAGAATACAAAAAGTATTCAAACTACTCAAGATCTAATACTAGTAACAAGCTACTATCATACCTGTAATCCTTCCATAGCAGTATAGCCGAGAACTGTTTCAGAACCGCCTACCTCCAGCCCGAGTTTGTAGCAATATTCTGATACAGTACCATTCTTGTCACTGCTGTTGTACACTCCTACAACTCGCATGTAGTTCTGGAAGCATATTTTTAGGTCAGAATAAAAAGTCTCATGTAGTTCTCAATACATACATATTATAGGTATAAAACACCCAGACACAGCACAAACGATCGTGCTCATCACACAATTGTATGTTGTGGGTGTTGGGGAGGGAGGGGGGGATCAAACTTAAACTCTAAAGTCATAGATCAAACACACACAATAGCAACAATCTCTGTTTTGTATTAAAATTATACTACTAATAAAAATAAACAAAATCTGTGATATGCCTGTGCCGTTCTACAACCGCCTGTTGCCAAGGGGTTGAGCCTTATGAGAAGAAAGGGCAGACAACCTCATGGCCACTCTTTTGCAATTTAGAGATAGGTACAATGGCATTATTAAATATACCACAACATTGTTTTGATGATTCGCACTGTGAACTGACTGAGATATAATAGTTCTACTTTTAATGAGTATCGATATTTAGTTCAAAGACGATTCTGACTATGAATTTTCGGCGATATGATGGTTCTACTTTTTAATTATTATGGATATGAAGTTTAAGCCTAAAGATGATTATGACTTACAAAATTATGAGTGAATGTATAATAAATGAGTGTCTGCCAAACGATTTTCTGCAAAATGAAGTTTATGCTATCCGTTGTTGTGCAAAATAATATTATGACGTTAAAAGTTAGTAAAAAGTGCTATAAAGGGTAGATCCGTTTTAGAGACCGTATTTACACACCGTTCACAGTATTGTTTTTTAAGGGTACCTCAGATAAGGACGAAGTATTCTCGTATTCTAACTACCAGAAGTAACCAGTAGATTGCGTTTTATGTGGGACTCTAACCTGAAAAAAGCTGCGTATACGAGAACGACCTCATAATATTCTTAATTTTAACAAAAAAAAAAGGCTAACATTTGACAAAACAGAGATTGTTGCTATTGTGTGCGTTGATCTATGACTTTAGAGTCTACATAAAAGACGATTTTAAAAATATTTTTTTATTAAATAAAGTTATTTTGATTTTAAGTTTAATATTTTTTTAGCTAAAATTTCTTTTGTGGCGGTCCACATGCTAAAACGACAATTTCCAATATGGATTTTTCCCTTTGCTGGCCTTTAGATTCCTATGCTGTATCCGTCACATATCACGCTAAGAAAGAAATAACATACCTGTGGTGGTATTTCTAATGTGAAATACTGGTTATCTGCATCTGCACTAAGTAGGTCTATTGCTAGCCAAGGTAATGTCCATACTTGAGGCTCTGGCCAGCATGCAGCCTGGAACGTGAATTAAAAATCTAAATGGTTCAATAAAACGCTCAGTTTATTGAAATAAAATAGTCTTGCTAAATATCAACAACACAAATAATTAAATAAATATAAAAATACATTTAAAAAAAAGTAAATCGTTTAATGAAATTCGCGTTTAAATTGTCACACACAAAAATTGAAAGGTTTTTGAATAAAATTGTACGAAACTGTAGTGTGTTGCGTTTACGTTTTCTTTATGTTCTACCTACCTACTTCTTTTTACATTACTAAGGTAGCATTTATGAAAGAGCAAAGCAATTGTACATCAGTACTTACCTCTCCTTGATACCAAAATTCATCTAATATTAAAACTTGTGAATTACGATAGATATTTTTTAGATTATCCACAACCTGAAAATTTAAAAAACTATCATAAAAATATATTAAATTATTCAGTCTGTCCGGTCTTTCTATAAGATTAATTTGGCATGTACTTTCTTTCACACATCTCACACATGGCAGTGTGATCCCAAACTAGGCAGAGCCAGTGATAGGGCAACCAGACTGCGGATAAACATTTATAATATGTATTTCAAAATACATACATATTATGGATATATTACGGCCAGACACAGAACAAATGATCATGCTCATCACAAAATTGTTTGTGCTGTGTGGGAATCGAACCCACGACCTCCGGCTTAGCAGTAATCACTACATTTCTTATGTTACATTGTTACTTAAAATATTAAGCTTGCTACAATAAATCTTTAAAAATACTTTAGCAATATACACAAGTCTCTCAGTGTTTCATTGGCCTCTAGGTATATTTAAAATGTCCGGATGTCTTAATAACAGCAGTTCTCGGATTCTATTTCAGGGAGCAGAGTAGCACATCGTGTGGTTTTAGTCAATCCGTTTCCGACATATCACCCCGCCGCAACCCCGGTGGATGACGGCACGAGGGGGTTTCCAAAAGTAAAAAAAAGGTATATTTAAAATATCAAAACTTGATACAATTTATATTATAAGTAGGTACAGCCTGGCCTAGCACTAAATTGCACATTAAATAAGTGAAAACTTATCCCACTTTCATTAAAAATCCTACATTACATACCAAGAAAATCTGAAACGATGTCCGCTAAGTTAATAAAATATGCGGTTTAGCAAACACAAAATAAGCGTGAATGAATTATTTCCCACTCTTCTAAACACATTGATAATTTACTTGTAAAAATTGCACCGACTTCTATAAGCCTACATTTCGATTAATTGTCGTAAACTGCATTCTTCAGTCCTTAATTTTCCACGTTTAGGGGTTGTATTTTATCTTTAACTTTACTCCAGAACCAAACGGGCAGTTTGGCAGCTTCTAAGAATTTGTCAAATCGGGTTATAACTCACGAAGCTCTCAGGTATAAAAACTATCCTCCTCCTTTTTTTGAAATCATTTTATTTTCAACATCGAAAATATGGTACATAATTACCTGTCTATATAAATCATCTGGAAGTCTTATATTAGTTGTACCACTATCAACGATACTCTTTTCCGCGTTGAGTTTTAAACACATATCTCCATCAGGAACAATTGTCGAATCATCAATTATCTCACTAGCATTAGAAGAGTTTAACATTGGATTTACGACCCTAATAGATATCACACCAACTTCATACCAACGCTTCCGCAAAATTGGTGTTCGGAATATTTTGGGTCTGTCTTGTGGAATCTTATCATCTGAAATGTAATTGGAAACAATTTAACATCCTAGCATTATCTTCCCTTAATATATAGTTGCTATAGATCCGTACACAACACAGAGACAAGCCAATGCAGCCGATATATTTAGGTTTATGCTGTTGGTCACAAATAGCCACAAAACAGTCCATTTTATTCGTATTATATTTAATCATTCTTAGAATTCGTTTCCATGTTGATATGTGTATCAAATAATAATGTAAACTACTTACTTACCAATAATATTTAAATACCCATAATGTGTGGAATTTGTCGTGTTTAGTGGTCCACAAAGTTTCAAATGGAATGATATCTGTTTATCCAATTTTCGTTCTACAGAGTCCAACCATGACTCAACCACTACACCATCGCCCCAAGCTCCTACTGGCAAGTAAGCCAGGCCAAGAAGGCCCTGAAACATATAAGACAGCAATATTAAAGTTGCGTTTTATTATATTTACTATAACATACAACTAAACCACCACACTTTTGACGACCTTTGTGGTGTGGTGACAATGAATCCCACTCAGTGCAAATATTTTTATACACGAATATATTTAGTCTATATACCAATTATATTCTCTCATCCAATTATATTCTATATACCAATGCTGTTAAAGACTCATAGTATAAGCTCCTGTTACTGGGCCAGACCCAGTCCGCACTTTAGGTAAGAAGCTACAACCAGTAGGTATGTTCGTGATTCGATTCAATGGATCCATTGTTTAGAGGGCTTTCACGAGCCGGCCAAACATCGTTCTTTAGTCGCTTGCTACAGTATATGTAATCGATGTATCGCTTGCATTCCTAACTAGTGCGGGAGTTGTCTTTTTAAAAAAAGAAAAGAAGATACCTGCCATCCAGAGCCATTCATAAAAAACTTATGACTTTGCGTTATAAGCGCTATGTCGGACCTTAATTCCGGTACAGAAGGCAAAGAAGGGATCTGTATAAAGTCTGACACTAGGCGTCCAGACCACGTACCCTGGGAGTACTCAGCTTGTACCTGTAAAGAAAAATTTCTCAATACATAAACAGCACCTTATCATTTTTAGTAGTTTTTTAATTTTAGTCAGGATTGTAGTTGTTAGTTAGAATGAGAAAACTGGCTAAGTAGCAGTCATGTTCGCTGTTTGTTCACTTATTTTAATTTTAAAAACTGAATGCCCTCTGCTACTGCTAGTCCATTTTATTGACAATAAAAGGCGACTTGTAAGTGTCAATTAAAAGCAGTTGAAACAATGTTGACAATGCGTTTCTTGTGATCTCATCCATTTTGTTTCTCCTTTGCCTGTTAAGCCCGCGATCAAGTCACATATGCCACTTTTTTGGCATCTGTATTTAGGCCAAATCTTTATCTTTCGGCCACCACCAGGAAATTTGTTTTATAGTGTAACGGTGCATTTCGCACCATTACAGCAATTTGAACCTTAGTCTCGTTTTTGTTTTGTTAGGTTGAATTTTTTGTCGTTTCTGCGTGTGCCGACGGTCGAGGGACGGACGAGAGTAATAATCGATGTTGTTCGCCCGCGATTAGTTAGTCGATTTCGTTTTTCTTGTCCTGGCAACATTTTTTTTTCCCGCTCTAAGGAGCGACAGGCTTTTGCACTGGCAACACGTTGGCTTCACTTTTGGACCGACCGCCGAATGAAATGAAGCGAAGCAAGTTTTGTCATTTAATTTTTTAGTAATCCTTATTTATTTGTTATGGACGAGGGCCTATTTCCTCTTTAAATGTTTGGCCAACCTAGTTAGGACTCGAGCTATTGGTTCGAGTGATTATTTTTGTTGAAAAGGTAAGTTTTGTTCGGCCACGTGCTTCACGCTTGGCTTGGCGGAATTTGTGGTTTTAACTCTTTGTTTAATTGGTTACAGGCAATGCTTATAATGCTTATAATGCCGCTGCTTGATTTGTGAAACATTTTAGGACCCTGGTAAGTGAAATATGATTTCTTGTCAGAGTTATGATTCATCTTGTGAGATAGGCTTTTAACCTATAATTTTTCCTTATTTGCAGATGAATCAGGGTTTTTGGTTTATATCTAAAGTTTTAATTATACTCTATTTTCCTTTTATACCTAAATTTCTTTACATTCTTATTGGAATGTCATTGCGTGGCATTCGGTTTTTGTCTCTCGCCGGAGTTTAACCCCTGGAAATTAGTTTGCTGTGGAGCCCCGGAATGGTAGAAAAAGCTGCTTAGCTGTACGCCATTGTCTGGAGCCTGGGAGTGCTAACCCGCCTCTTCCACCACGTGGGAACCGGAGTGAGAAGTTTCGGAGTTGGTTTGAGTTCATTTCATTCGGACTGATCCAAGGTCATTGGTATGTGTTTTGTTATATATTTTTCTTGGCGATGTGGCATTGAATACTGCAGGTCCCCAAGGGGTGTTATTTTTATTAGAGAGTAGGTCAATGCTATGTCTACCCTTAGAGTTTATTGTTTTGTCTATTAAGTCTTTATGCGACTTTGTTTAAAAACCTATACAGGTCCCCAAAGGGGTTAATTTTAATTAAGGGAGTAGGGCGTTGCTACAACTACCCTTAAACTCTTTTCTTTTTGGGTCTTCATGTGACTCTTTAAAACTTATTTAACCTTATATTTTTCTTATTGGAAAGGATTGCATTAATGACAGTACTAATTTGTGTATAAGAATTACCTATTGTAATTAGAGACATAAGACACATTGTACTCTACAGACACTACGGGATAATAAACTGCCATTAGAACTTAACATCTTGTATTCATTAGCTGCCTCCCGCCATGGGTTAAAAAGGTTCAACGCTGGCTGAGATGTCCGAGGTATTTGTTGTGTTTGTGGTGGGTTCTGTGTTCTTTTAAGGTGGTATCTGGCGCCCGAGACTTTTATTTTGTTATTTTGTTTCTATTTGATGCCACCAATTTAATTTTTAGTTTTATTTTTCTTTAAAACAGACCTACACACATAAATAATTTTTTTTTATTTTTTATTATTACAATTGTCGCCAGCGCTCAGGGACTGAAGTAGTGTCTGTGGGTTAATTAGATAACTGATTGGATACTGTCTTTACTGCATCCTATATTTTTCTTACATACCTTGTGTATTTTACAATTGTATTATCATGTAAGTGTGGTTATTTTTTGCAATTCTTCATTATTAGTTTGCAACATTGTGACTTTTCATTACAATGTTATTTTTGCTTTAACAAACAACAATAATTTAAGTTATACTGCTGCCTATTGTATTCTCAATTAAGGGTATAGTTACTGAAACATTTTGTGTTACAATTTAATAGCTTTGAATGTTAATTATAAGTCTGCTCAAGAAACATTTTATAGATACCTCCACTTTGGAATTATTATAATATAACTTAGTGTAAATTAAGATTAACTTAACTTAGCTTAACCTTGCTGTTATTGCTTAGTTACTAGAACAATTGTTAGTGGTTACTGCAATCCTTAAATCCTTTTTGATACAGAACTTAGATATTTAAATTAAAACTTAGCTTTTTTCACTTCACTTTTGAATCAATTTAGACTTTTCTTTACAATATTCAACTTTTAAATCAATTTGAACCTGGTTGTTCACAACATTTAACTATTAAATAAATTTAAACTTATCCTTTCATAACAATTAGCTTTTAGATAGTTTAAACTTAGGTTTTCACAACAGTGACTTTTGAATAAATTTAAACTTAATTAATTTTAAAGAACTTAACCTTTGAACGGCTGTATTGGAATTTTGTGGTTAATGTCGGTTTGTATTATGGACAAGGAGGCTCCACCTTCAACGTCGCCTGCCAATGTGGATGTTGGCACAGCTGCGGATGAGTCAGCGGAGATGAGCGTCCCATTGGACTTGTCATATGTTCGTGATACTCCTGCTCTTGCACCGAGTCTGCCTTCGTTCAACAGCATGAATGATCACGTTAGGAGGAATATGCCTGCCTATACTACGAAGCTGCCTGATTTAACTAGGAGCAAGATAATCTTTGACGGTAAGACCTGTGTTAGAGAATTTATCACTCGTGTTGAGGATTACTTTGTATTCAGGAACTTTCATGAGGCCGTGTTGATTGGTTCGTTTGCTGATCTGCTTGCTGGTACTGCTGCCAAGTGGTTTAGGACTATTCGTAGGAAGATCTCTTCGTGGGTTGAGCTTAGGGCTGCCTTGCTTAGACGGTTTGATAGGCCGGACTATGATAGCTGTTTGGAGCATGAACTGCGCATTCGCAAACAGAAGCCTAGTGAGTCTCTTCCAGACTTTATCACGGAAATCATGGACATGGAAAGCCGCCTGGGCACTGCTGTTCCAGAGCCGTCGTTGATTACGAATATTAAATACAATATGTTGCCGGTTTATGCACCTTATATGATTGGTAAACAGATATCTTCGCTCGAGGACTTTATAGGATTGGGAAAGGAGTTAGAGGCTTCAGGTATTAGGAAACCTCTTAGGGAGTCGTCCAAATCTTTTAAATTTGAAAGGGTGCAGTCCAACGCTGTCACCTCTGACAAGGAGGGCGTTTTGTGCTTGAAGTGTAAGTCGGTCGGTCATTCTTATAGGAATTGTCCTTCTATCTCAGGCGTGATCTGCTTCAGGTGCCGGAAGGAGGGGGTTATCACAAGTTTGTGTGAAGTGTGCAATTCGGCCAAGGTGAACCCTAACGGGGCAAAAAACTGATTAGTTTCCATCGAGCTCGGGTTCCTGAGAAACCTAAGGATGTCTCGATGGTTAAAGAAATTATTAGACACACTAAAAGGCCCGATAAAGCCTCATGCCGTAGGGAATTTCTGGACTGGGTGGAATACCTAAAAACTTTCTTTCGCACTTATAAGGCTGCGCCTGTTTTATTTGTCAAAAATAATGACTCTCGACCGTATTTGAAATTTTCTGTTAAAGGGGATAAATTTTCGGGTTTATTAGATAGTGGGTCCAATGGTTGTATTCTAGGTTCTAATAGTCACCAACGGTTTCTTAAATTGGGTTTTAAAATTGAGCAAGTGCCTAATTACACTTCTAAATCTGCTTACACAGCGGATGGCTCCGCCTCCCAGGTTATTGGAGTTATTAATTTACCAGTTACTTGTGATAATTTAACAAAAAGTATTAAATTCCTTGTTATACCTTCATTTAATATTCCAATCATTTTAGGATTTGATTTTTGGCTTAAGTTTGACCTGGCTAAGGACTTGTGGAAAAATATAACCTTCGTGAGTAATGATAAAATTCAAACTTGTACGGTAACTTGCGCCGCTGAACTTACTCCTTCTGAGAAGTTAAAACTTGATAAAACAGTTTCGCTTTTTGAAGACATTTCGTATGAAAAGAAAGGATTAGGTCTCACTCATTTGGTTGAACATAAAATTAACGTTACTGGTGAACCTTTTAAGCAGAGATATTGGCCTTTGAGTCCCGCCAAGCAGAAGGAACTTTTTGTTGAAGTTGAAGCTCTGCTTAGGGAAGGTATTATTGAACCCTCTAAGTCTCCTTGGTGTTCTCCTGTTTTAGCCGTAGAAAAGAAAGACGCACTAGATTATGTTTAGATTCTCGACGTTTAAATTCCATTACAATTAGAGATTCGTATCCCCTTCCCTATCCTTCCCGAATTTTAGACAGCCTCAGAGGCGCCCGTTATATTACAACCATAGATCTTTCTAAAGCTTTTCTTCAGATTGCACTTGAGGAATCTTCTCGCGAGAAAACTGCCTTTGTAGTACCGGGTAAAGGGTTATTTCAGTTCGTTAGAATGCCTTTTGGATTAACCAACGCTCCTGCAGAACTGCAGAGATTAGTAGATAAACTTTTTGGACCTGAATTTGATAACGTACTTTTTTGTTATTTAGATGATTTGATTTTAATAAATAATAATTTTGAAGACCATATAGCTTACTTAAACAAAATTTATAAGATACTTAAAGATGCTGGCCTTACTGTAAATTTAAAGAAATGTGAGTTCTGTAAAGACAGGCTCAGATACCTCGGATACATTGTGGATAGCAAAGGTTTACACACTGATCCGTCTA